ATTTAATTTAATTTAATTTAATTTAATTTGAGTTTATTTTATTATATTTTATTTTATTTCATTTTAATTTAATTTAATTTAATTTAATTTAATTTAATTTAATTTAATTTGAGTTTATTTTATTTTATTTTATTTTATTTTATTTTAATTTCATTTCATTTTATTTTTTATTAACTCGGATATTTCTCACATACCACGGAAATTAAAAAAAAAAAAAAAGGAATAGTAAAATTAATGTTCGATAACTCGGTTGTAAAATTTTTTTTTTTTTTTTTAAATACATCGATCACACAGTGATATTTTTAATTATTAATAAAAATGATAAAAATACGTACACAAAAATAAATGATCAAAATATTTCATTCAATAAAAAACAAATATCGCGAACTTGAGATAAATGATCAACGATGACAAGTTGTTGTTTCAACGATTGCATAGTAATCATCGAAGAAACGATAATAACAAACAATAAAATAATAAAACACAAACGATCCGATCACAATTCAATCTGATCCGATCCAGAACGGACGAGGATCCGTTCCGTAATGTGTCCGGGACCAAACTCGATACGATTGACTCTCCGGCCCCGGTGGTGGGCCCCTTCTAGGTCCCCTAACGGGACACACCGCAGACACGGCCTCTCACCTATACAACACGCTTTTACAATTGCGATCACACTGATATTGAGATCGTTTTTATTCGTAACAGGAGGGAAAATAGGAAGGGATGAGAGGGTGGGTGAGTAGGTGGGTGGTTGCTTACTCAGTGGTGTCAACTTCGAAAGGTATCAATCATTGGAGGTCGAACCCTACATCACTTTTCCTATAGGTATTTCTTCTAAATGAGTAGATAGAATGACAGGTGATATAATTTAAAAAAAAAAATAAATAAAAAAATCAAGGCGTAAACAATACCGTGTCAGACTAGAAATTATTTCCTTCTTTTTATATATATTTGTTTTTTTTTTATCCTTTCACTCGCGATGATGAACATTGTGGTGAAACAAATAACTTTATATAAAAAAAAATTGATTACAAAATTTACAAATAATGATACTACAATTATTGCGAAACTAATTAATTCATTGGTTCATTCATTCCTGACATTCTCAGACTACTAGAATCATTTTTATTTTTATCCAAAGTTATACGGTAGAAAACGTGTAATTTTTATTTCCGTTCTTATTATACATTCATCATTGATGGTGTGTATACATTATATTTTTTATTTTTTTTTATTTTCCTTTCACGAATGATTTGGTCATTTGTATAAAATTATACACGTTTATTCGTAATTATTTGTAATAAAAATTTGATTGAATTATTTCTATCAAAGTTTTCACTTGGTGAGGAAGCAACCATGCGGATTATCGTACTCTCTAATCGTATCTCGAATAAAAATGGCTTGCTCGATTTACACAGTATATCTTTTTATCTCTATCTCTCTCTCTCTCTCTCTCTCTCTCTTTTTCTCTTGTTTTCTTTCTCTTTCTTTCTCTTAGTGAATAGACACTTTAATAACTTCTAATCCAATTCGTGCGATGATCAACGATCGTGGCCGACGAACTTTATAGATTCTCCTCCTACTAATTATTAGAAACTATATGAATTATATATTAATACGTACACATACACATTACACAGATTACATATGTAACTAAATACGCGATGATGATGATGATGATGATGATGATGATGATGATTATCCGATTAAAGAATTAACGAGGATGAAGAAACCAACGTAGGAAGTTTCTCATTGAGTTTTAAAACATGAAATAAAATAAAAGTGAGACAGGAAAATATATAGAAACTTTTACCTTGAATATATATTTACAATTCATTCGTATATGTTTATGTATATGTGAGTAAGTATGTGTACGTGTATCAAATATATGCGTGTATCATTGAAAACGTTATGAAAACGCGCGCGAAACAAATCTCTCGTTGAATGTGAGCTTTTGATACACCACGTGCTTGCTTCTTGACATTTCTATATATATATGTATTCGTGATTGTAACTAACATAAGATATATATATCTAATTAATATATATATTAATAATAATTAATATATATATATTAATAATAATTATAGTAACAAATTGTTCCAAGGCCTAGGATAAAGGGGAGGGTTTGAGGAGAAGCCTAGCAACCTATATGTGTATATATATATTACTAATAATATATACTTAATATACTAGTAATATATACTTAAAAAAATTAAATTACTAGTAAATTACTAGTAATATATACTTAATATATATTAAACTAACATAAGATATATATATATATATATATATGTAAATTTTTTTTGTATTATTTTTCTTCTTGTTTTTCGTTGCTTCTTTTAATTTATTTTTAATAAATCTCTCATTCATTCTTTATCTTTTTATCATTTAACATTTTTATTTTCTATTTTATTTGAGAACACCGTAAATATTACACAATCGTTATCTTTCTTGAATAATATTGATTCTCCTTATCAAAACTTGAACATTTAATTGGATTCATCGTCGTTATTCATTTTGCGTTTAACTGTTGCTGTTTTTCTTTTTTTTTCTTTTGGAAAAAAAATATAATATACCAATTGCTATGGGTATTTCTTTTTTTTCTTTTTTTTGTACATTCAAAAAACAGAAGAGAAAATAAATAATATGATGATAAGAAAGTGATTACATGACGATAACAGAAATATTCTGAAATGAGTTAAAACTTTGCACGATAAATTATACCATTAGATATTTTAACTTAACATTTGTTCAATTTAATATTAATAATAATTATAATAACAAATTGTTCCAAGCTCCAGGATAAAGGGGAGGGAGGATTTGAGGGAGAGGCTACCAACCTCGAACCTTGGTAAAAAAAAAGAATAATTGCTACCAGAACTAACAAAATAGTTTCTTTAAAGTGCTTAATTAGAAATAACAAGATAAATTCCTAAAAAGATAATACAAAATATTATTGATAAACTAATTAATTATTATCTATGCTCAATTAGAAAATATAATTAGTATTTATACGAATTATAATATGAAATAAAAAAAAAAAAAGATATATACCAATTATGCCCTAGGATAAAGGGAAAGGTTTGGGGGTGAAAAATAATTGCTTCCAAAACTAACAAAATAATTTTTTTAGAAATGTTTAGTTTAAAAATAATAAGACGAAGTCCCCCTAAGAAGAAAAAGAAGATAATCAAAAATATTATTGATAAACTAAAATTAATTATTAATTATTATTCATAATCAATTATAAAATATATCAATTATAGTATGAAAATATTTTTGTTTAGAAATGTTTAGTTTAAAAATAATAGTACAAAGTTCCCTAAGAAGAAAAAGAAGATAACCACAAATATTATTGATAAACCAATTAATTATTATTCATACTCAATTATAAAATATACCAATTATAATATGAAAAAGAAAAAAGATATATATATATATATATATCAATTATAAATAATTCATAAATTATGATAAGTAGGTGTGTAAAATAATTTCTTACAAAATTGATGAAAACAACCAACAACGTGGGTGTTTTTCGTATCCTTTTAAAAAGCAGGTGAACGGAGGGCAAAGGTTCTCTTATAAGCAAGCAAAACGTTAATGTATATGTATGTGTATATATATATGGTACGAGGGCGTTAATCGTACTTGAAATCAATTCGCTCGAGGGAAATGGAACCGCAGAAGCTAGTACGCTAATGAACGTAGAAGAGAGTTACGAGGGGGCGTAAAAACGGTCCCCCTGCCATGACTTCCTGCCAATTACGGACAATTTGCGATCATCTATGATCACCCCGTACCCCGTCACCCCGTTAACCGGTGTGGATGGTGCCTAAACGTAAGAGAGATAACGCGACACGATTTTCTTCTCTCTCTCTCTCTCTCTCTCTCTCACACTCTTTTTTTATTCATCTTTCACTCTCACTTATTATCTTTCTCTATCCTACATACTACTATTGCATATTAACAACATTTAACGCGACCTACGACGTGCTTACAAATTTCTCACGTGACGTAATCACAAAAAAAAAAAAGCTAATGATGTGTATTAATAATTAGTATAATAAAGATTATTTAATAAAGATAATTATTTAAAGTATATTCATTACATGTGCCTATAATAAAGAAAGTGATCTAGATGAAGTCATGTAACTCTTGTTTCTAAATATTTAAAGATTTCTATTTGAACATTATATGAATTGTATGTAATATTGAAAAAACAAACGTATTATCTAACGATTCATTTTTGACAATATCGTTTTCAAATTACATTGAATTTATTTAGTTTAAAATAATGTGATACGTAATAACTAATAAACTCCTCTTTTTTTTTCTTTTTTTTTTTTTTTAATTTTGACTTAGACCACTTTCATAATTATGGGCGCATATTATTCTTTTTCTTTTTATTTTATTTCGAGGTAAATATTAAATTGGATCAATCAATTCTTCTTATAAATTTCTCTATGCATATATATATATAGTTTATAATTAATTGAATGATCGTCTTGGTATGGTAACGATGAGATAATATGCGAACGTACGTTTTTGATCCCTCCCACGTAGGAGAAAGAAAAAACGAAAGAAAAAAAAAACAAAAGAAAAAAATACATAGTCTTAACGGTGCATGCAAGTATCGGGAACAAAGGGCCCGGCACATTTATCAACGCGACATCATTTAATTCCACACGACGTGTACGTGATCGGTTTCTCGAACGAGGGATTATATTTAAAGGGGTTATCGTTCATACGTGTACTTATGTGTATATACCTTTATTATATATATATATATATACGTGTATAGGTGTATCACACCAAAATGAAAATATTTTTCCTAATATAAAAGAACAAATAAATTATATGTTTATATAATTTATTTATTTATATATTTTGAATTTTGTTTAAGATATATTTATAATATGTTTTTACTTATGGTGTTTTTTTTTTTTTTTTTATTATAGAGAAAACGGATATGAATTCTTTTTTTTTTTTTTACACGAACGAGTTTCACACACCGTCACGTCTTATTAACACCGTCTTTAAAATATAGTTACACATATTCTTCTTCTTCTTTCTTCTTCTTCTTCTTCTTCTTCTTCTTCTTCTTACCGATTTTACTTCCCACGGGTGTCTTAGAAATGAAAGAATAATATCGTGAAATAGTAACAATACTATTCTAGGCTTTCAATTTAATAAACGGGGTGTTACAAAGTTGATTGTATACGTTCGAAATTTCGTCCCCCATGGGAAGAGAAATCAACTACGTGCTTGTACTCCTTATATATACATATATACGTAATATATATATATATATATATGTGTTGTGTATACATAGGTGCATTCATTTTTCGCACGATCGATTTTATCATGATCTTCCAAGAAATATTCTTAGATATTTCAATATATTTACATATATATTTAGTATACTTTCTTTATTTTTTTTTTTTTTTTTTTTTTATATATATTTTTCAATTCAAGAAACTTTCTGATCTTTTCCAGATTACTAATTTATTTATATTATTATTATTATTTTATTCTAATCAGAAAAAAGAAATCGTTTATTCGATAAGAGATCAGATAATAAATCACGGTTTACGTTTCATATTAAATTTGTTATAGTAGAAAATACAAATTCGTTTCACCTTTATTTAAAGGAGACAACATTTTTCAACTCAGTGTTTTGGATTAACTTCATTATGAGCTCTTCAACACGGTAGATCGTTATCATCGTGTATAATAATGCACGTTAACTGAGTTTTCTTACGTAACAACTACATGTCCATTAGCCGGAAGTTTTTTTTTTTTTTAAAGTGCATATGTATACACATTTTTTTTTATACGTGCAAAGAGGAAAAAGAAGAAGAAGATAACATAAATAATAATAAAAGTCATTAAAATCTCTATGAAAAAAGTTAAATGAAAATGAAAATGTATGATCGATAACGTGAACGTATTTGCTATTATATCTTCAGTATGACAAAACGAATCATTTTGCATATAAAAAAAAAGAAAACGCTTCTCTTAGAAAAGAACGAATAGTATTGTGTGTATAACATTGCATACATACATACGCGTGCATTGGAATTTGTGATGCAATCCCGTAATTTTATATACAAGAACATGCATTTACCTATCACTGAATATCAATGAAAGTGAATCGCAAATTAATTAACAGAAACAAAAAAAAATAACAGAAAATAAACAGAACAATAGTATTGTCGCAATTATTAATAAATTTATTATTTTAAAAAATTCATTAGAGTAGTAATAATTCAAAACTTCAAATTACTAATAATCGTTGTTTTGATTAAAGGCGCGAAAATATGATTAGTCCCTTTTATTAATATTGACTATGATGATATATAACAACTTACAGATCGTTTAGAGAATAAATCTACAGACGCGAGACGTTTTCCTTTAATTGAAAATTGTCAAAAAAAAAAAACAAATTGTCCTTGTTCTTTTTATTTTTTTAATTTCTTCCTCGCGAATCACAAAAGCTTCTTCATGGATGCTGCAGTCAAAGGTCGAGTACTGTTTCGAGTACGCGAATCGACTGCAGACAAAACGTTATAACAGAATTCTCCTAAGCACATATCCGTTCTCCATCCTCTCATTTCTCAGATCAGTTTCGTTAACAGTTGCCCCATCTGATGGCGATCCATAGAATTTACTTACATAGTATAGAACAATGATCTATATAGATCATTGATCACTATTCGAAAAAAATTCGATCTTATTTGTAATATGAATTGTAATTAATATCAGGAATCCTGGGCATCTAATTGATTTGAAAATTCATCATTTTATAAAATACTTTTGATTATTTGTTTTTTCCTTTTTTTTCTTCGTAATTCTCGACACGTTTTTGCTTTAACTTTCGACATTCCTAAATGCCGATCAATTTAAAATTATTCTCTTGGTGATGACCATTTCTGTTAATTGCATTTTCTTTAAACGAGTATTGTATACTCTGATGGTGTACACGTTTTCCAACTTTCTCAACAATGTTTCATAAACAAGTCACACAACAAACTCTGCAAATTTTCTGATCCTAATATGATTGTAATTTTTATAATTATCCTACATATCGTATTTCAATTAAAAAAATGATTTTTTTATGAAATAACTTTACCACGAATGACCTCGTAATTGATGTTAATATCTCTATTGTGCGAATATTTCCAATAAACTTTCTTTTTCCCGGACGACTAGATCTTCCTTTTACAAGCATACTTTCTTTCTATCCATTTTTAAATACCATGAATGGTTACAGAACCAAACGAACATTAGTAACGAGAATATCTCTAACTTTCTTTTAATTCAATTATAACAATATGAAGTTTTACACACACGCACATGCACTCAATAATTCGTAGCTTAGTGTTTATATTTAAAAAAAGAAAAAAAAGTAATATATCGTAAATTGGAATAATTATATTTCAAATAAAATTTTTAAAAATAATTAATATAAATTAAACTTCAACATTGTTTCTCTTGTCCTACAATAAATATTATTGCACATATTTTAATTATTATATTATTATACGAATAAATAATGAAAATATATATTACTATAAAATTTCACTGTACACATATTTTGATATCTATCGTAGATTATTACATTCTAAATATCTGCTATCCAATTAAAATATTAAAACGGAAATCTTACATCATGTATCACTTTATTTATGTACACGTTAACGATAATAATTATATTTAACTCTCACTGCGAATATATTGCAATTATTAATTGAATTTTTGTAATAGATATTCATAGTAATTAGTAGCTTGTTTTTAATTAATAATTAATATTATATATTAACAAGAAGGAATGCTCTAATAATTTCTTCTATATATTCATCATTTTTCTCTATTCAATTTGTAATGTATGATGATCTAAAGAACAATTTTCTAAATCTATAAACAATATTACATCTTATGGAAGTAAGTAGAATAATGACTATCAGATGACAATTCTGCTGAATTAATAGACAAGTCACCTGTACTGCAAGGAATAGTTGGTATATGCGATCCTTGTATAGTAAATCCATGATAATCTTCTTGACCAATTGATTCAATAGATGATATAAGATTTGCACTAGAAGTGTTTGAATTCCCAAGCAATGTATCAGGTGTATCTTTGTCGTGTAATTGGGAATCAGTCATCAATAAATCACATTGTGTGTCTAAACTGATTAGACTCGTTTCATCATCTGCTTTACTGACATCCAAACTGCCATCTCCGGTAAAAGAAGGAAAATCAAATGTCGGAGAAGGTGTAATACAATCTTCCATCAGTAATGAAGATCTTAAATCGGCTGAATTATTCGTCAATAAATTGTTTTGAGATTGATCATTAATAGGATGCGAATAAACCTGTAAAAAGAATATTTAAATGTTAAATAAATGACATTACACGCGTGTACCACGTAAGCACGTATTTATTTACCTGAGGTATAATAGGTGGAGGTAATTGGTAATTTTCAATATTATCTGAATCTAAATTCGTAGGCAATCTTTGACTTTGTGTTATCAATAAAGGAGATTTTTCAATAGCTGTAGATACTTTAACTTCTATATCTTCTTTAAATTGTGTCATTTTACTTTGTAATTCGTTTGCTTCTTTAATTATTTCTAAATTTTTCGCTTTCAAATTATCAAGTAACGTTATATCTTCGCACATCAAGTGTAAATTCTATAAATAAGATTTATGAAATAATAAAAACATATTAATCGAAAGGTTAAGATAATAAATTAATAAGAAAAAAAATATTCTATTCACTTCACACATCATTAGTGCAGATTCCCATGTATTAGCTGGTACTCTTTCTCCTGACATATAAGCATTGAAATCTTTTTCAGCCATATTTAAAGATTCAGCAGTTAAGTTCTCAATAAAAGATACAGCACAGCACTGAAATTGAAAATAATTATTGAAATAAATTAATACTTCTTTTTTATACATATATATATATGATGAACATTACTAATAAAAAATAATATTATACCAAATTTGTAAAATAGTATCCTCCTTCTCCCGTCATTAACCTGCTGGCATTACAAAACCTTGTAATGAAATTAATATTACTTTTAAGTCGTGCAGGATTGGCTTTTAAAACGATAAAAATAAGAGCTGGTAAAAATTCATCAGCAGATGCTGGTGCATCTACGGATTGTTGTAACAATAAAAATATGTTTCTACAGCAATAAATAACGCAGGCTAATTTTTCTTGTGGAGCTTTAGCAGAATCCATATTTAATAAATCTAAAAGGAATAATTTTTTATTTGATTATATTATAATTAAAATATATCCACACAAAAAAGATATGTATATTACAAACCTGTTATAGATGTGTATACAAGTTCTCGGACTTCAGAACTTGTTTCATGTATTCGACATTCTAAATTCTTTCCACTGACCCAATTTAATTGTCTTATTCTGTTAAAAATAAAATATACAAATAATTATATTATTATATCATATCCCAATAATAATTTTAATAGATTTTGTGATGAACATACCTTTTTTGAATCGCTAAATCTTTTTCTTCATCCGTTGTGAATGGTGGACAAAATAAAATTCTGTATAACAACGTCATAGAATATTTTTCGACGTAATCTAATAATCTTTCTTTAATATCTGCAGATATATCTATAATAATAATAATAATTAATATTATACATAAGAAATATTTCATCTATTTTTTTAGAATAAATGATAAAAGATATAAAACATAAATACCTGCATATTTAAAACTATTTTCTAAACGTTTAGCAAATACTTGATAAAAAGTCTGAGTTATTTCAGACAATTCTTCTATTCTTTTAATATCTTTATTTTGAAGAATATCAACTACGAATGAATGTATACATTTTCGTACATCTTTCTCAACCGGTGTTTTTGCAATTGATGCAATTAAATCCCTATTTTCAGCTTTAACTTTTTCTAAATCTGAATTGTCCTTAGTTAATTCATAAAGTAATTCTTGACATCCTTGTACTTAAGAAAAGAAGACAAATAATTATTAATGGATAATAATATTGATCAATAGAAATATGATTAAAATGTGTACAAAATATATTACAATAATAAGAAAATAATCATTTGAATACATTACATTTTGATGCAGGTTTACGAAAAGAAATGTTTAATAATTTATACTTCTTTTCTTGTTGAGATTTTTTTTCTTCGTGCTTATGATATCCAGTAGGTAAAGTTTTATTAGACGTATCTCTATAATAACAGGAAACAACAAAATAACATTATATAAATGTAATATAATAAAAATAGAAGAGAATATTCTTACACGTCAACAGTTTGTAAATTTGATATATACTCTCTCTGTGCTCGTTGCTTTTGTAAATGTTCACGATGACATTTGCTGCAATAACCTTCCCATTCCGCATTGCCATAAAAACCACAACCATTTTTACATTTCAAATCAGCCTCGTCGATACGAAGAGTAGGTGTTTTCGTAGAATACATATTTTTATTGTTTTTTATTCTTCAACAAAATTAAAGAAATCCATAATATATAGAATATATTATATACTTTATTAAAAGATTCATACATAAAAAAAAAATACAATTTTAAATACTTCAATGTTATTACGATAATTTCTTCTATCTTGCAAATTATATATGAAATTAAAAATTAAAGCACAAATTAAACATAACTAAAAGTACAATCATCTTTCACCGGTTATTATAGACAGAATTATCAGAAGGCAGAAGATATCAAATTTATAGTTTTATCATTATTTTTATTATTTCTTTAAATAATTTCAAGTTGGCAACACTAATTTAAAGCACACGAAAGTAATAAGAAGAAATAATAAGGAACTATCAAAAATCAACACCAAATGCATGCAACACTATTTAAATGTCAAATTGTAGGTTATATTCTATGCAGTTTTTATTATATATCAACAATTGCACATTACTGTGAAATAGAAAATATATATAATATAATAAATATATATATTTATCTTCTAAATATAATTTAACATTTAACAAATTTATCTACCCAGGGTTTTTCAAATTTAATATACGTCTTTGAAAAAATGTGCATCTATATCTTTATTATTTTTTTCATTTTCTAGGGATATTTTGTTTATTATTTCTACGGTTCTTTATCACATCACCAGAGAAGAAACTAAATCCCTATAGCTTGCAATTATCAGAAAAATGATTGGTTAAATTGAACGTATATAAATATATATATATTGCGCATGATGACATCACGCGCATGCTCGACGGCGGTGTTTCCATGGACGTATCTATGTGCAACAGTAGGTACACGTAAGGCGCCCTTCACAGTCTACCGTATTGTAATTGTCACAGGGGTCTAACGATACCCCATATTTGAGAGAAGTATATACGTCACTGAGGATACGTAGTGCGCATGCGTGAGAAAAATCCCACGTCCCAGCATCACTGACTGCGTACACGTGCTTTTAATTCATGCTTTAAAACTAAATAAATGTTATTGCACATAATAATTGCAATTTATATGTAAATTATTTTTTTATTTTATTTTATTGAATAAACAAAAATGTTTACTGAACCTAAATTGACCAATACTTCTCCAAATTTTGGAGTACCACCAGATAAACCAAATCCAGTAAGTTTATTTATTATTAAATAGGTTAGAGGTTATTATAAAAGGTTATTATAATAGGTTATTATAATAGGTTATTATTAAATAATTATATATAAATTAAAATATCTCTTTTGTGTTTATTACAGTTATTACAAACTTTAGGAGCTCCACATATAGATTCTTTTAATTACATGCTTGAAGATGGACTTTTTACAGCCATTAAAGATATACTACCGGTTTATCTACAACTTCCTAATGGCGATAAAGTAAAGTTATGGATAAATGATGTTTCCATTTATAGTCCAAGTGTTCCTTCAAATGTAATTGGTATAAAAAATTATAAAATATATCCTACAGAATGTAGACAAAGCGGTACTACTTATAAAGGAAAAATAGTCATTCAATTAGGATGGTCTGTCAATGGTGTAGAAGGAGAAATGCTAGAAAAGGATTTGGGGAATATCCCAATTATGGTTAAGGTATATATTTTTATAATACACAATTTATCTTTCACAAAATTGTTTATAATAAAAAGATTATAATATATATTTTTCCATAGTCTAATAGATGCCATCTTAATAAAATGAGTCCAAGTGAATTAATTGCTCATAATGAACATGAACAAGAATGGGGTGGTTATTTTATAATTAAAGGACATGAACGTCTCATACGTATGTTATTAATGTCCAGAAGAAATTATCCTATTGCAATTCAAAGATCTGGATGGAAAGCTCGTGGTGCATTGTTTAGCGATCTTGGATTACTTTTAAGAAGTGTTAGAGATGATAATACTTCATCTGTAAGTGCATTATTGTTGATATTATTTCATCGTTTTACTAGTATTCTAATTATTGTTATTTTTACTTTGCAGAATAATACATTGCATTATGTTACCGATGGTTCTGTCAAATTAATGTTCGTGCACAGAAAAACTTTATACTACGTACCTCTTATCTTAATGTTAAAGTGTTTAGTCGATGTATCAGATATTTTTATTTATAATGCTTTAATGGCTGGTTGCGAAGATGATTTGCATTATAGAGGATGTATTTCAAATATGTTACATGCAGTACACAGTGAAGGTTTACATACACATGAACAATGTAAAGCATATATTGGAAAGATATTTCGAATTAAATTTTTTGAATTATCTCAAGATGCAAGTGATATAAAAATATGTGATTTCATTATTAAGTAATTATTATTTTAGTAAATTGTTTATTTATCAATGATTATCTTATTTATCATGATTATCATTATTATTATATTCTTTATTCGCAGGCACTGTGTTACTATACATTTAGATGATCCATTCGATAAATTTTATTTACTTGTATTTATGACAAGAAAACTTTTTGCTATTGCTAATAATAAGTGTGCTGCAGAGGGTGCCGATTCTGTAATGATGCAAGAATGCTTATTAGGTGGTCATTTATATTTACAAGTGTTAAAGGAAAAGTTATATGGATGGCTTTCAACTCTTAAGACTTCAATTCTTAAACGTGCCAGAACCACTGCCGCCAATTATACTTTAACAATACGTAAGTATATTAACACTGATGTATTAATCTAATAAATCTGTTGATTAATTCTAATAATTGTATACATATATTATCCTAGAGGAAATGTTAAATGCAATGAAATATGGAGGATCATTCGATTCACAAATGGAAAATTTTTTGTCTACTGGAAACTTAAGAACACCTACAGGATTAGGTTTGATGCAAACTAGTGGACTTACAATAGTTGCAGAAAATATTAACAGAATGCGTTACATGAGTCATTTTCGTGCAATCCACAGAGGTTCATTTTTCCAAGAAATGAGAACTACAGAAGCAAGACAACTTTTACCAGATGCTTGGGGTAATAATTTATTATATTTTTGTAATAATTTAATATACAATAATTTGACATCCTCTTGTATAACTATTAATCTTAATTATTGTAGGATTTATTTGTCCTGTGCATACACCAGACGGTGCACCATGTGGTTTACTTAATCATTTAACTATGAATTGCATTGTTACAAAACATCCAAATGCCAAGTTAAAAGCTGCTATACCAACGGTATTATTAGATCTTGGAATGATACCTATTAATTTTGTTGATAATTGGAAAGATTCATATACTGTTTTATTGGATGGGAAAGTAATTGGAGTTATCGATGATAATACAATAAATAGAACCGTGGATAAGTTAAGAGTACTCAAGATAAAAGGTGAAGAGGTATGTAATTTTAATGAAATAATAAATAATTATATTACATTACTTTATATATATATATATATATATATATATATATATAATGACTTAAATCTCAGGTACCTCCTACATTGGAAATAGTATTAATTCCAAAGAGAAAAGTACCAGCTCAATATCCAGGATTATTTTTATTCACTAATCCTGCACGTATGATGAGACCGGTATTAAATTTAGCTACTAAAGAAACAGAACTTATTGGAACGTTTGAACAAGTTTATATGGATATTTGTGTAGAACCAGAAGAAGCCTATGATGGTGTAAATATGTTTTTGAAATTAATTTACTTTTAATATAACTATATACTAATATTCTGTTTATCTATTAATATATATATATATATTTTTAACATTTACAGTTAACTACTCATCAAGAATTAACAAAAATTTCGTTCTTAAGTAATTTAGCATGTCTTATTCCTATGCCAGACTATAATCAAAGTCCAAGAAATATGTATCAGTGTCAAGTAAGTATTTTGCTTGTATAAAGATTAAATTAAAAAATAAATTAGATAATTTTACATACAATACAATAAATTTATAGATGAGTAAACAAACAATGGGTACACCATGCCACACGTGGAAACAACAATCAGAAACAAAACTGTATAGATTACAAACCCCAGCAACTCCTTTATTTAGACCAGTGCATTATGATAAAATAGATATGGATGATTTTGCTATGGGTACCAATGCAATTGTAGCTGTTATTTCATATACAGTAAGTAACCGTAGTTATTTATATGGTGATCATTGTAAAAATATCAATTAATTTAATGATATACATTATTTAGGGATATGATATGGAAGATGCAATGATTATTAACAAATCTGCTCATGAACGAGGTTTCGCTCATGGAATGGTTTATAAATCAGAATTTATTGATTTAAATGATAACAAAAGTTTTTTTGCACGCGATCCGAATAAACCTTTCCTCGCTGAAAAACTAGACTCTGATGGTTTACCTATACCTGGTTGTTTGATTTCAGAAAATGATTATTATTATTGGTAAATGATTTAGAACAAATAATACTTATTGTCATAGTTAAATAATATTGTTTTACTTATTATATTGTATTTAATTTTGTTGTATTTTTTATTTATAGTTATTATGACGTTGAACAATCTAATTATGTAACTAGAAAATACCAAGGAAAAGAAGATGTATACGTTGATACCGTAAAATTATGTGGTACTTTAAATCCTAATACTCCAAAAAGAGCTTGTATCACATTTCGTATTTCAGTTTGTATAATATATATATTTTTTTACACATTATTAATTTATTTAATATAATTTATATTAAAAAAAAAACATAAATGATATTTTTAGAGAAATCCAAGCGTTGGCGATAAATTTGCATCAAGAGCTGGACAGAAAGGTATTTGTTCGCAAAAATGGCCAGCCGAAGATTTACCATTTACTGAGTCAGGTATTATACCAGATATAGTATTCAATCCTCATGGTTTTCCAAGTCGTATGACAATAGGTAATTATGACCAAATATTTTAATGTACATTATTTATATTTTAATAATTTATCGTTGAATCTAAAAGAAATATTTATTGTTATTTGTAAGCTATGATGATTGAAGTAATGGCTGGAAAGTCTGCAGCTGTACATGGATTAGTACACGATGCAACACCATTTAGATTTGACGAGAATGAAACAGCAGTAGATTATTTTGGAAAATTATTAGAACGTGGAGGATATAATTTTTACGGTACAGAAAGAATGTACTCTGGTATAGATGGACGTGAAATGACAGTTGATATATTTTTTGGAATTGTACACTATCAAAGATTACGTCATATGGTATCAGACAAATGGCAGGTTCGTATCTTTCGGTTTTTTAATAATAATAATGATGATGTGAATTATATGAAAAAATAATAATTTCTGTTTAAAAAACAGGTAAGAAGCACTGGTCCTATTGATATATTAACTAGGCAACCAATTAAAGGACGACGACGTGGTGGTGGTGTTCGATTTGGTGAAATGGAACGAGATTCTTTAATATCTCATGGATGCTCGTATCTTCTTCAAGATCGTCTTTTCCATTGCTCCGATAAAATTACCGTAAGTAGTGTCATTTATTTTTTTGTTTTATATTCTAACTCAACAATTATATATACATATGTTCTTTTTTTTTTTTTTTAATCAAATATGTTACTTTCTAGGCTTTAATTTGTAAAAAGTGTGGAACGTTATTAGGACCTATTATAGAATTATCAGTAAGCCCAACAGGTATGACTGAAAGAAAACAAAAGTGTAAACTTTGTGGTGATGACACTTCTGTAGAAGAAGTTGATATTCCTTATATATTTAAATATCTTGTAACTCAATTAACTAGTTGTAATATTAATGTTCAATTGTCGTGTAGAGAAAAATGATGAACAATTGTAAAATTTAACATTTTTATATATGTATTGTATATATTTATTTTTATTAACATCCCTTAAATTTTAAAAATATCTTTTTACTACTGTCTAGTTAATATATTTGCGGCTATACAACATTTACAATTGAAGAATTTTGCATATATGTACATAATAAGATAATGTCCGATTCATTAATTATTATATTTATACGTGGAAGCAATGAATCAGATTTAACAGAATAACAAGACAGTGTAATACTTCTTTTTTTTTTTTTTTTTCTTGATGGACTATCTTGTTTTGTTGCAAATTATGTTTCTTTTTTTTTTTTTTGTACAGAATATTAATACATATAGATTATAAATTATTATATATCGTCTAAACGTATATAATCAATATTTAGTAAAGGCGTAAGCATTTATATAATTGCTTATCCAAGAGTCTACTAATTATAACAAAATATTAAGCTTTAGCGGGAACTTGTGTTCCTGATTTATTTCCCGTAGCTCCAGATTTACTTCCAGTTGCTCCAGTTTGTTCTTTTTCTAACTGTTTTCCTAAATATTCCCTAAAGGCAAATTTTTTATTCAATGAAATGTGATAAATCTATTAAGAATGTAATTTATTTTCTTTTTTAATATTCTTACCAATTGTGCACCATAAGTTTTTGAACAGCAAGAAGAGCCTCATATCTTACATTTGGATCCTCATGACTCAACAATTGCATTACTCGTTGTTTACCACCCAATTGTTCAATAATACTAATAAATACAAGTAGTGCATGATTTATACTATCAAATAATATAATATAAACTGTATTGATAGTAATGATCACGTTAACTTACTGTTTTCCTCGTGGATAATGACGCACATATTCTCCGATATCAAAACTAGCAACACTCAAGACAAGAGCATCTTTACTTGTTTCCAATATATGAACTAAGATACGTAAAAGTTCATAATTCTTTTCATTCAATCTACTAGCATTTTCTCGCCAGAATTTTCCAGATTTATGAACGGGTGACCATTCAAGACGTCCAGATTTAATTTCGGTGGAATATTCATCAAATGAACTTAAATCCTGTACAGATGCTTGTAATTTATCATTCAAAAATTCAATGTCATCAGTGATGTCCTCGTCATCGAATTTACGTTGGGATAGAATGGACAATTGTTTCAATACTTTACATTGAACCATTGCAATGCAATGTTCCTTGGCTACTTGACCATCCTCAACTTTTTCAATAAGATTCTGTTAAATAATAGAGTGAAATTAATAAAATATAATCGTTTAAATGTAAATTTAATATATATATTTTTAAATATTTATAATTAATCTTACCCTAAATACTGCAAGAATAATTCGTGTCACTTTTTCTTTAACGGAATCACTCAATATATCCGCAAGAATGGGTATAACATTAAATCTGTGCAAAAACAAAAAAAAAGCAAATGTTATATGTAATTGAATGAAATATTATATTATATATTTTGTATTTTTACGTACTTATTCATCTTTTCTGCGAGCAATGGATTAAATGTAAGTACCCATAGACAGAAAATAAGTTGATATTGTACTTGGAAATTTACTCTGCCAGATAGAACGCTCAAAAGTGTTGAAATTCCATCAACAGTAACAAATGCAAAACGGTATTCATCTACGCGCAACATCATTTGAAGACACCGTCCAACAGACTGAATGTATTCATTATTCTAAATGATAAAAAAAAAAATAAAACAGATAATGGATGTAAGTTTTATATAATAATATTTTGTTTGACATGAGAGATAACTAAAAGCATTCAATTTACATTTAATAATATTGTCAAAAATGAAATCATTATTCTGTTTAGGTAAAAATCTAAAAAAAAAAAAATAGCAACGAAACAAACTACAAACAGAAAAATACATGTTAAAGAAAATTAGTTTAGATACATATAAAGATAATTAAATCAAATACTCTTATTATCTGACATTTTGTCAATCGAATTATGAAAGTCAATGTAAACTGATAACTGTCCTGACACCTATTAAATTATAATTAAATTATAATTAATCGTTAACTTAAAATTGAATTTGATTTGTGCTTTAATGAATGTTTCTGGCTCCCTGCACTTCTTTCATATGCAATTTTTCCAAATATCAATAGTTATAATTAGTTATTACAGAACCAACCGGATTATGTAATTCGTGCAGTTCATTGGTCTCCCCTGCCTCCTCCATAGAAGTATCCTGCATTACTTCTGCATGCAAATCTGTCTCCTGAAGAGCTTCAAACTAAAACCCCATCTGATTTTGTTCATATATTCTACTCCTAATATACTAATTAATCATTTAACCCTTCACCGTATAAAAAGCAATAGAGATAATATCGTCGTGATTTTAAATTATTAGATATTTTTATTTATTTGATGTTAGTTTAATCTTATTCCCACATTTGTTAATTTCATTAATTTCTTAATTGTCGTTTGATAAAATAAATAATATATCAAATAGTGTGATTTATCCAAGCATTCTAGTGTAAAGACAAGTAAATTTAAAAAGGACAATTATTAAATTAGATTTTGTTTTGATTATTCGGTTATAACATTGCTAAAACTTTAAACGATAATAAGGTTTATGAAACATATTTTCATAATAAGGTCAGATTAATTCACAAAAGCACATTCTAATCTACGTAAGGTATTAGTAATATAAGTGTCTTGCTTATTTATGCTCGTTTCTATCATAAATATTATTATCTAAACTAAATAGCAAAGCAAGATATCATTCAAGCAAATAATATATTAACACAAAATATTAAAAACAACCATGCTTTACTAATATCCTGAAACAAATGATGAATTATATAAAAAAAATTGTTCTCATTTGTTTAGATTTAAATTTAAATATGTAAGTATTATTACCAAGCACTATAATTCTCAACGTATGATTGAGTATATTTAACAAACTTACGCTTAATCTAAGTTGATCTTTCAACCAAGTTAGATAAAATTGAAGATCAGTTTTTTCCATTAGTTCATGACTCCAACAAGCTAACTTAGCAATAATACGAGAAGTCATATTTATTATAAAACCATCTTGCCTATTTAATAAATTAAGGAATGGTCCCCAAACTGATTCTCGTTTACGTGAAGAATGTTCTCGAAATATTTCAACGCGACTACGATCTTCCTAATAAAATGAAATATTTATTATGTGTAAACATTTGAAAATAAGAATAATAACAGTTAATAGTTAAATATAGGATAACATCATAAACATTAAATATTTGTACACGTTTTAAATGAAATACCTGAAGCATATCATCTATCATTGTAAGAATATACTGTGTAGTTTGTTCTTTTGAAATATGATCAAGAAGATTGAGAAAAGTCTTAGCAGCTTGGTGTGGATTTTCCTTCAATTTTGCTTCCCGAGCATTAGCATCGCTTGTATCAAAAGCTACTATGAAGTCATAATCTTCTTTAGGTATCATTTGTGATCTACAAAATGAAAAGTAATACATGTAACATTGAAATATTTTTATATATACATTATTACAAGCTTAACCAGTTAGTTGTGTTTGCCGAGTATACTTGTCATGAATAAATGATAACATTTGTTATTATTATTATTATTATTATTATCATTATTTTATTCAGATTAAAATAAAATAGAAAATAAATGTATACTTACTGTAAATATGACTGCCAATTGATTCTTTGATTTCTTATTTCAGCAGCTTGTTGCTGAAGAGTACTCGTAGCTGCCAGCATATCTGTAAACGATAGTTACTTCAATAATTCCAAAACTTAACTGACAAAACTTAAATATCATTAATAAGAAGTTATAGAATATGTTTTGAAATCATGGGAGTGGCATTGTCACATTATACTGTCAATTTTATTAAGATTACTCACCAATTTTCTCGTCGGGTAACGCTGGGATAATTTCTTTAATATTTGCCCTTTCCACCATGTTTGAAGACGATATTAAACGATGACGAATTTAATAAAAATTTTTTAAACGATTAAAATTAATGACTTTAACTTTTATCTGGTCAAACTTTTCCAGTTGTCTCTGTGGTCACAAGACCAATATACAGTGATGCCAACGTTAAGATAAAACAGTCCAACCAAATCCATAAACTTTATAAAACTAAATATGAGATATATTCCTAACATAGTAATGATTTTTTTTTTTTTAATTTTTTTTTTTTTAAATAGATTATTGTTTATTTAGTTTTTTTTTTTTTAATATTTTTTTATAAGATGACTGTTTAAATATTTACTAGACAAAATGAAGAACATGGATTAACATGAATGAAAATAATATACTAAGAGACATATTTCAAATGATTCAAATGAAAAAAGAAAAACACGTTACAGGTATCAATATAACTCGTGATTTTTGTAAAAAGATGTTTATTCTATAAGTATTATTTGTGTGTGTATGTATAAAACTACTTTCTAACGATGTTTTTTTATTTTATTTTATTTTATTTTATTTTATTTTTCATGTATAGCCATCTCTTCATCTTATATGTAGCTACCATCCTTGGAAATGCGATTTTGTTTTTATTTTTATTTATAATTACGCGCAACTAAATCTTATTCAATTTTCTTTCCTAGATAACTAATTAATAAAACAAATTTTTTCTTATCTCATAATTTTGATAACACGTATCACTCATATATTTCAAAAATTGTTTTCTTTATAAACAAAATTAAAAATAAACTTTCTGTACAACGTTCTCTCTTACAAGGGATCAATGAATTTGACAAAAAAATATAATCTTTTTCTTCTTCTTCTTCTTCTTGCACATTTTCCTTTTAAACAAAACATTCTCTTTTGCATTGAATAGTATAGTTAATAAAAAAAAAAAAAAAAAAAAAAAAAGATACAAAGAAAATATTGTATGCGAGTATCTATAAAGTTATATTTCTAAAGTACAATATCTGTTTAATATTAAAAATCTTCTTTTTTCTTCTGATTTTTCTATTTCTGCAAATCAATATAATAATAATTATTATTATACTGATATATTATATCCAATTGAACTATTACGTTAATTTCTTCTGTTTTTTTTTTTTTTTTTTATATTATCTTTCTTGTGTTTACATATATTTCACATAATGCGCGTATTTGTATAAAATAGATGTTATAGTTTATCATATCTAAGCTCTTTGAGAGAGACAACTGTATATATATACTTCAATAATGTTATACAGCTTCATTTTTATATTGTCACAATTGGTTAAAAGATTTCTAAACAAATCTTTAAGTCTTTATAATATTAAATATATATATAAACCTTTTTTCTTTTCATTTTTTTTCTTCTCCGTAGCGATTATAATCCTTGAAAAACGGAAGACTATTTATATAAAATGGACATGTTTTTTTTTTTCTTTCTCTCTTTCTCTTTCTCTCTCTCTCTCTCTCTCTATATATATATATATTCATTCATTTAGGTTTACCTAATTTGGACTATAGCCTGAATTATTTTATATCTTTTACAAGTTATACAAGATTAGTCCTTTCACCCCCATAAAAAAGCACAAATGAAATTTGAAAATATCAATTAATATGAATTTTTGAATTATAATCTTTATATTTTATGATTAAAATATATAATCATAACTTTCTATTAAACAATAAACATAGGAAAATAGTCATTCGTTTTTTCTTTTTGTTTTTTGTTTTTTTTTTTCTTAACAGACAAATATTCATCTTTTCTTTTCTTTTCTTTTTTTTTTCTTTTAATAAATGTTATTCTATACTCTTCTATTTTCTTATTTTTTTTTCTTTTTTTTTTTTTTTTTTTTTTTTCTTTAAAGCTGAACAATCAACTTGTTATTAGATGTGCTATTTTTAAATTTCTTATTTTTTTTTTCTCTCTCTGTCTCATCATGCATTTCCCATACATTCAATACCACAAAATATTATTTCTCTTCATATGTACAAAGTTACTTTCGCCGCCTTTTTCTAAATAACTAACTGTATTAGACATTTGCTTTGTCATTTGTTTTAATACCAATTCATTATGAATTGTTCAAAATACTGGCTAAGTTTTATGCATTTATATTACCAGTTTTGTTTTCAAAATTGACATATACAAAATATTATTGTAATAAGGTTGATATATAAGGTAATAATATTACTGAATAATAATTTATAACATAGGTGGTCCAGTTATCATGAACATAATATATATATATATGTATATGCAGATATACATTAGAAATCAGTGATTAATATTGACACTTTATCAAAATGAAACTATATAAATAAAAAAAAAAATACAGGAAGACAGTTCATATATTCTATATTAGAAATTAAGTATTGCAAATTAACTGTATCCCTATATATATATATATATATTAATTGATCCTGAGATCAAACATTGTTTTTTTGGTGCTAATTATTACACCTGAATACAAATCAAATTTTAAAACAAATAAAATAAAACAAAAAATGGAAAAATACAAACCAAAACGTACATTACATCAATATGACAGTCTCTCATTATATAATAGTAATTTCTATTATTTTTTTTTTTTTTTTTTGATAAAAATTTCTCATCTACAAGGATCACTGATCAATTATATATATATATATACATAAATATATTTCTTGGTAATTCTTTTTGCACACTACAAATTTGTCTATTTTATATGAAAATAAATACTTTTTCTGATGAAAACAAATTTACAAATGTACCACAAATATATAAGAATTATTATTTTTTTTTTTTTTTTTACAATATAACAATAAAGTTATATGCTTTGAAGAACATTTTTTACAACAGTTATAACAATATCCACTTTTTGGCACATTATATATTTATAGTGTAAAATTTGCAATATAAACTTAGCAAAATTTTAATTATATATGTATATATAATTAATGTATTTGAGACATAATTCAAGTTATATTAAATATATATATATATATATATATATATATATATTTGCAATAATATATATTGCAGATCTTACTCTATGTATTATTATAACGTTGAATCTGAATTTATCAGTCCATATTATGAGTTATAATAAAATATTTCGAATAATGTGACATTTAATTAATCGTGTGAATTAATTTTGAAAGAGAAATCTTTCGTGATTATGAAATATTCAATTTATCTTAAAAAAAATTGATATATTTTTCTTTTCTTTTGGTTTATATTATTTTTTGTATTTATTTAATTTCCTAGAGAACAAAAAAATGTTTCATAGTTTCGACAAACTGCAGTAGCAATAAGATTACCATCCCCATTTGTTATAAACATTTTAGATAATGTATCCTTCGAGAAAATGTCATTTATTTCACGTGTTATTTTCAATATATTTTGTATTCATTATTGGACCACTTTATTTTAGATTAAGATTTTGCAAATGAATTGCATTGCATAGATTAATGACTATGATAATTGTTTATTGTTTATTTTTTTGTGTTCTTTTTTACGAAAAACATAAGTCGACTTTTCCAAATCACATGCTGACAGCATACAATTGTTATCAGAGACATACGTACGAATGTGCAAATGAATATTTTATCATTGTTTGTTTTCTTGTTTCTTCATTTATCACTTGAAATTAAATTTATAATATAATTATTGTTGAAAAATAAGTAAAGAAATTAAACCATTATTTGTCTACCTGATTTGTTTAATTCAACTTATGTAGCCGCTGTGTAATAGTATTGTAGATAAAATATTTAAATCTATTTGATCAGAGCATCATGGCTTTTAATACATTTATTGTTTCTTTTAAAAATGATTTTATTAATTTAGCTGCCAAAACGCACTGGAAAAATACTATTTCACGAAAAGCTGAATATAAAGAATATTATTTGTGCTTGCTCTGATTTAAACAAGTTTTTAATTCTATTTTATTTACTGATGCGTAACGTTATACGTTATACGTCATGTGTAAAAGAATAAAAAGTGTAATAATATGAATTTTTGTTTAAATCGCTTTTTCCATTGGATACATATATACTAACTATTATTAACTATGAATTATTATTCGATTAACTACCTTATAAATAAGCAATTGGTCGACTGATGTTTTAAGTACACTTTTGTAACCGGGATATAAGACATTGTTTATGTCATATTCTTAAGTAAGCAGAGAACAATATAAAATACTGGTTGCTTTATTACAATCATGAATAAAGGTAATTTCCGTCCCAATTACGGACTATACACATTATTGTAAAGAAGTCAATGTGGGACGGATTGGACCTATCTAAATAGATCGTAGCATTTTTTTTTTTTTTTAGTCCTACATCATATCAACTTTCTTTGTACAACGCTCATTATTGTAAAAGTAAATGCTCTGTGTGGTGTCACCGTCAGTTATTATCTTCTTTTTATTTTTTTTTATTTATTTTCAGTCTCATTTGCATCTACACGCATGCCGAACATTTCGAGCATAATTTAGGCCGCATCGAAATTGATAATAGTTCAAGGCAGCGAGCATGCGAGTTTAATACGGAAGCATTTTGAGAGAAACGTTTTTTTTCTTTCTTCTTCTTCTTCTTTTCTTTTAGACTTCAGCTTTCCAATATTCAGCTAAATTTATACGAACGTTAACCCCCTCACCAAGTGCTAATATTATAGACCATGCGTATATTCCAGTCATTTCACAGTACTGGTTTTAACAGCTTTTTATTTACTTAGCGAATTCCAATTCCCTAAGCTTATGGACCCTATAAGCATGGAATCTGAAAAGGAAAAATATCGTGAATATAATCATTGAAAATATATTTCAGAATGTATTTTATTAAATGAGAGAAGAATTGAAAAATGTTATCTATATAAAAGATACTTCAAAGTTAACTCACGGCATTGTTCACTGTTCCAGCAATAAATTTTAATGATCGCCTCGCAATAATTCCATTAAAAGGTTAAACGAACTGCCTTCTCCTTCAGCACGTTTTGCACTCAATAATTCCTTGCCTACCTGACACGTTCTTTGTAAATCTGGAATCCTCAATAATAGTTCCCCAAATTTAGCAGGCATTTCTGGATACCTGGCAATAGTATATTGTTGAAGTGCTTGCAAAGCTTTTTCTTGAGAAGCCCTAACTTTGTCAGGTTCTTTCAATTCACTTGTGTCAGATGTCAGTAATACTATTACCTTTGTTTAGAAATAGAAATAATCTAATTAGTAATTTATTTATATTAATTACAGATCGGGAAAGTATTATCTCCAATTGAAGAAAGTTACCTTCATCGCAACGTACTCGTATTGATCCACCCTCAGCCTTCTCAAATTATTAGTGAAAGCTAGCATCCTCTCGATGCAAGTCGCTAAACCAAGCTGTCTTGCCTGTTCCAATGTAATCGACTTGCCGAGAGATACTCTTATTTCACCAGGAGTACTCATACTGCGGAAACAACAAGAGAATAGCAGCAACTCGCACCATGAATTGATAAGTAGACAAATCTGATCGTCGATTGAAATATTTTTGAATAGTGGCAAACTTTTACACCATTTAACTATTTTATAGAGACGATGATCGGCAATATTGCAAAGATTCGAAATAAAGTCCGGATGTGTAGATGGATTGCCATTAGAATTTCCGCACATTCGAGAATTACAATTGCCAACGTTGCCAGAGTTAGCCGATAATTGTTCGTGACTACCTGTCGAAGTCGAACCTGTCGAACAAGGTCTTCCAGTATTGTCGTCTCTTCTGTTATTAATATTGTTACTAGCGTGTCCGTTGGTAGGACAATCAGTACTAGAGCCGTTGGTAGCTGATCCACTTCGACCTGAAGAAACATTACCACCGTTTCCGCTTCCTAATAACATGTCACTGTCAGGAGTATTTCTAGCTCCGCCCGAAGTTATCACACCAGACTGAATACCAGTTATACGATCACTGTCATTATAATGCCAAAGATGTTCTACATCCATGATGTCTTGCAAAAGTTGTGGAACTACATGTACTTTGTATGAATGATTCGAATGATGTCTGACTGAATAATGATGTTCACTGCCGGGCGGTGCAGGACTACAATTACCAGCAGCATTTATTTTATCACCAGTCGTCATATTGTTTGCAGAACTACCGATGAAATTAGTCGGTAATGTATATGTACACTGATAAGTGCTCCTACCACCTCTGGTACGATCCTCTCTGATAGCTTCGAGTTTCATTCCCATATTGAGACACTTGTCGAATCGACAAGCAGGGCATTTCTTTCTTGTGGCAACGGTGACAGGACAACCTGCACCCCTAAGGCACACATAGTTTTTACGATTCTGGACGGTCCTCTTGAAAAAGCCCTTGCACGATTCGCACGAAAATATACCATAATGAAATCCACTGATTTTATCACCGCATATCGGACAGGGGCTATTAATTAACTGCTGTCTCGTGGAAATACCAGATGGTGCAGCAGGTATTCTACAGTCTTCTTGATCTTCTGTTCCAGGATGCCCATCCGAGGAAAGTTCTGATCCTGGAGCGGAAGAGGAATAATGGTGCGCGCTCACAGCCGAAGAAGCAGCCGTTGGAAGATGTAAAGGACTACCTTGTGCTACTTGTTGATGCTGATGTTGCGAGTGAGCGTGCGGATGTCGAGGTTGCTGGACGGGAGAATGCGTAGGTGGGCTCAAAGAGCCATAACTGTAACAACTGCTCGAAGCGTCTGAATTGTTACGTGAAAGCGAATGAGAGAGGGAGAGTGACAACGAGGAGGTCGAATTATTGAAACTATGTCGAGATAAGGAAAGCGAGGAAGAAGGAATCGGGCTTCCTGCTCCCAAGGCGGAGTGTCTTGCAGCATGAGGACTTTGAGTCGGTGAACTGAAGACACTGTATGCAGAATGAATAGCCGAATCTGGTGATGGTACCTACGATCAGATCAAACAAATACATTATTTCTATAAACTATACGATAATAATTGTAGGTAAAGAAGGAACCAGAAAAATAGTCATTTTTATTACCTGCGATCGCGTATGACTGTGTTTGGTCAAATGATGTCTTGGATTAAGAACAGGACTGTGATTTGGAGTAGAACTGTTATAACCACCCAATAGTTTTCCCACGAGAAGAGGTAAGTCGCTCTGTTGAGTTTGTTCAAGATTTTCTATACCACGTTGTTGCTGTAATTGTTGATTATGACTTAAAGATAAATTTCCCGAAAGCGCGTATCCTGAACTCGATCGAAAATCTGGTTCTGGCTTTATTGGAAACTTTTGTTCCATAGGTCCAGGACTGGAACCACAAACTTGAACACCTTCCATCGACGTTTCTTCGTGATCGTCCTATAGAAAAGTAAAAATCAGTTAAATGTATTTTAATAATTATATAATTATTTTGATTAGTTTATTCACCTGATTAGTTAGGGTATTCGAAGACATCTCTTGATCGGATAGTTCTCCTTCCCATGACATAGGTCTCTCTGGTTGTTGTTGTTGAGACGTATCGTTACCGTCGCAAGCTCCGCTTTCACCTTCGCCATCGCAATCGCCGATTTTCTCACCGCTCTGATTTACGGAGATATCTCGTTTCTTCTTGGTTCTTAGATTGACACCGCGGAAGTCGATCTTGCTTATTTCACCGTCGCTGTCGTCCGCGTCGTCGATATTCGTGGCATTTGAACTGAGAATACCGATCCCGATACCATGCGAGCCCACGTTGCTTGTGCTACTCGTACAGCCGAGTACCGAGCCGCAATTTGAAACTACGGACACCGTCACGCCATTTTGACCTGCTAGATATTTACAGATGCCTTTGCCTACAAATTTATCATTATTTTAATCTTTATTTTTTTATTAACAACTTTTTAATAAAACTTGTAATATTGTTTACCATCGTGCATTTCGTGATGCGTAGGTGGGACATTGATAGCAGTTACGGAAACGTTCTTCCCCGTTTCCGTGGAACGAGTTGTGGTCATCGTGGAAGAATTGCCAATGGATGATGAAGAACAACAGGTGGATGAGGACGTTGGTGAAACCGATGAGGCCGATGATCCGGTGGAGGGTGCGGTGGTGGCGGCGGCGGTGGCGCAGGAGGCAGAAACGGAAGTGGTGCCGACGCTTGTACCGGAGGTAGAAGACGACGACGAGTTAGATCCAACGGAACCAGACGATTTCCAGGGTTGTGTTGAAGGCCACCAACCTGGACCAGGTCCCGGGCCATCGCCGGGCCCGTTTTGCTCCGACATCCTCAGCTGGTTATACTCCTATACGCTCTCAACGCTACTCGAATCCTCTCGATCTTCGTAAAATTATACACCATCCTGAGCGCACCTTTAATCACCAGCCCGTCCGTTTGTCTATCTGTCTTCTTTTTCTCTCCGATGACTCGTCTATTGTAATTAACTTTTTTCTTCTTTTTTTTTTTTTTTTGAATACCCAATTAGATTTCCGTCAACTCACGGGTCTTTCTTTTTCTATAACTGAAAAGAGACAAACGCAGTGTCATCAGTTAGGATTGAGTTACGTGGAATGTTAACAATGAAATGTCGCTTATTAACAACTAGTAATATTTCAAATTCATCGTTGAAATATGAAAAGATCGATGAAAGTATTAGACTCCCTTCTCTCACACGGATTTTCTAACAAAAAAAAAAAAAAGAAACGCGTGTATGAGATGAATATCATAATTTCAGGTCATTGGCCGCGTGCACCACGAGGATTGGAACCTGTGTCACGCACCATTTTTGTACGTCCATCTTACACATATTATCTTCAGGTCATTGATTCACGCTACTCTCTTGGATGATGCTACGTGATTCCCATGATAGATGCTGCTGTGCACCACACACAACAGTTGTGCACTTCGTCTATAATTCAAAAGAACTCGTATGCATATACATGCATACGTAATATACATATATTACATAAGAGAATATATAGACGATGTCAAAGGCATCTCTCGTTTTTTTTTCTTTTCTAGAAATATTATATTCTAAAATAAACCTATTCTGTTGTACATTTCGTTGCAGTGCTTTTTCAACAAAAGAAAGACACGAAGAATCAAGCAAAGGTAAAAAAGAAAAAAAGAATGCGAATCTTGCGGTTCATCTGCGGTGGAGACGCACACACAGAGACACACATTCGCAGATATATTCTACGATTCCTTTGATGCATCAGCAAACTTCCCAACAACAACATGTGTAAAACTACAGGTATTATTAATCTCACAATTCTTCGAATATTATTCGATAAAATAATATTTACAATATCTTTTGACTATATATGTGAAATCTTATCCTATAATCTTATTTTATTGTTAATTACAGATTAGTATACATACACCTATATGGATTTTATGATTCCTATAAATCTAAAACTAATAATACTTAAGGAAGTTGATACTTGATAATATAAGCGTCACCGTAGACGCAAAATGTTACATGCTCGTTCGCAAGTCGGAGCTACGACTGGGATGATAATGGAAACGACAGATGAGACAGAAAGAAAGAAAGAAAAAGATAGGGAGAAAGAGAGAAAGAGAAAGAGAAAGAGAGAGAGAGAGAGAGAGAGAGAGAGAGAGATAACGTAAAAAGTTGCGGTCTTTCGCGAAGAGTCATAGACGGTCGAGAATCGTGCTCTTCTCCTAAGTCGTTGCATGGTCGGGGCCACGGTGGCGGCTATGGCTATGGGTTATGGTGGTGGTGACGATGGTGGTGATGGTGGTGATGGTGGTGGTGGCGGCGGTTGCGGTGGCGGTGGCGGCGTCGTCCGTAAGGTCAAGGCCCTCTGCAAGCGCCCTACCCGACTCTTATGCACCTTCGGGGTCACGTGACGCGGCTCAAGGTCTTCTCTCCCCACTCCTGCAAGCATTGCACGGCCACGCCATGCCACCCGCCGTTACCACCGACGGTGCAACAAGCGTGTCCCCCCTTCCTCTTGATCCCCTCTTGCTTCCCAACCCTACCCTACCCTATCCTACCCTACCCTACCGTATTCTCTGCCCTACCCTTCCCACCCTTTTTCCTCTCTGTCTTCCTGGCCCAACTCTCTTGTCCCTCGTCGTCTCTTGAATGCGCCTGCTGGCCGGGCCGGTCCGCATCATCTTCTCTTCTCTTCTCGGTCGTTCCAAGTCGCGTAACTTCTCTCCCGAGGAACTTCTATGAACGTGGATTCGGCTTTGAGCCGTTAGAGTACAAGTACCGTTTCGTTTCTCTTTATAGATATATATATGTATGTATGTACACATTTATATCTATATACGCGTACGTATATACACTATCTTACAATAATATTTAATTCCTTTCTTAGTTTGTTAAACTTTTTTTCCGTTCATTACTTTTCTCACGAAGTTATCTTCGTTTCATTAACATTTTTTTTTCATTTTTTTTTTTTAAACGAAATCGAGGTCGCGTTTTACGTAACAAAGTGTTTGTTAACGGTATAATAAAGTGTACTATTATCGATTAGATTCTTTATATCAATCTTGAGAAAATTTGTTCTTGTAGATAAATAGATATATATTCCAGGTGAATCTAGACTTTTACACGGGGGGGGGGGGAATCATGGGGGAGTATCGTAACGAGTTAATGCGTGCACCAAAGGTGGTTTTCCATTATAACCGCAGCCTAGAAAAAATATGATATCCCTAAGAAAGAGAGAAAGAGAAAGAGATCAAGAGAACAAAAGCTATCTAAGTTTTCCGTGGGCAATTTCATAAAAAAAAATAAAAAAAAGCAAAAGAAAAAATGACATAACTGTGGTTTAAAATGTCAAGGAATTCTAGACGTGAGATATTAAGTAAGAAAATATTTTTACAAGTAATACGTTTCTATTTGTTACGTATCGCGATTGGAAGATACTCTATCTACTTTCAAACAATTTGATATGAATTTTGTTATCTTTTTTTTTAACATTTATTTAGATATGACAACGAGTATGCACAATCAACAACAGACTTCAAAGTCATGTTTTGAGACGAGTTGTACAAACGATGTGGCAGGTGACACGGAAGAGAGAGATCGACGACCCACGAAGTCTACTACTACTATTATATGTACGAGGACTCTATTTTAAGAGGGTCGAGAGTATACAACAAGGAGGAGGAGTCCTCGATAGAGAAGAGGAGAGTCTTCTCTCACAGAAGTTGACCGTGAAAGAAACGCAAAAGACGAGCTCTGATTGTAACTGTATTACGTTTGCTGTTGCTTTTGCTACTCTCCTCAGTTGGCAGCCTCCTCCTCTTTCTCCTCCTCCTTCTCTTCTTTTACCATCTCCTCTTTATCCTCTTCGTCTCGTTTCGTATCGTTCGTCATCGTCATCGTCGTTGTTGAGGAAATGCGAGTCAAGTACAACGTCCGCTTGCGTCGGCGTCTCCTATCAGGGATGATGATGATTGTTTGCAATGCATTTTACGAGTCGATCATTCAAAGAAAATCATTCTCTTTCTCTCTCTTTATAATGATCAATAAATAAGAAAACAAAGATTTGATCATAACGTTTTATTATGTTTATTCACAGTAATATAATTACGAGATAATTAGCATAAGTGTAAGAATGGATTCGATTCGTTCATAAACGAAATATGAACGGAAGTCGATCTTAAGACACCATGTGTATGTGTATGTATATGTGTATGTGCTACGACACGACGACGACGAGTATTCGAATGGAGGAATGAACGAACGAACGAAACAAAACGGTACCTCGAACTTTCAGTCTTTCTTTTCTTTTACTGAAAGGCCTCTCTTCTCGCCGCGTATATAAAACGTCTCTGCTTATCTCATGTTGCACTTCCTTCGTCTCGCACGTGTGTTTTTATTCGCGATACCGCTTTTTCTCTCTCTTACACCCATAAGAAACACGATGCATTGAATTCACTAATGTAACCATATGTATATACACGTATGTACATTATTACTTATGTACACACGTGTGTGTATGTGTGTGTATACTTTTTATATGTTTACATATATAGGAATAAAGCTCGAAGGAAAACAAGATAAAACATTTTCTAGTCTCACTCTTTCTTTAAATGGTTCGAATTAATAAGCGCGTTTACTACGATGAAACATGATTCCAAAACGTTTCGTTGTCGGGTGTTCGATACGAATAAGATTAGACAAAGCTACCGTAGAAGACTAGACAGAAAGAAAGAATGAGAGAGAGTTAAACTGGCTTTGTCGAGTTTCCTTTTGATACCTTACTCATATGTCGCCGCGTCTCGTCCTACCCAACCGATGCAAACAAAGGGCGAGAACCAAAGAATGTCAGTCACATATTATACTAACTATAGAAGAAGAACCCTTTCATATTTACTTAGTAAGTTTCATACATTTCTAAAAGAGATGGAATATGCTAATAACATTTTTTTTTTTTTTATAAATAATATTCATGGTTTGTTTGGATTCATTTGAAATATTATTATTATCATTTCGATTAGAATATTAAATGTTAAAATAGTATTATAATAATTGTTCATTGCAAATGAACCGATGGTGTGGTATTCCATGAAAATTCCTTGTCTTAGGTGGTGGTGGTGGTGGTTGTTACGTACCAACAAGAAGCCTTCGTTCTCTGTGGAATCTCTCTCTTTCTCTCTCTCTCTCTTTCTCTTTCAGTCTTTAGTATCCGTCTCTCTATTTCATCGAAGGTAGGCGCGAGCTCGCGCGTTTTCCTTTCACCCGGGCCAGTGGGCCTTGTCGAGCGGGGCCAGCAGCAGCAACAGCAACAGCAGCAGCCGCGCATATCTTTGATATCTCACGAATATATAGGAGAGACCACGCTTCTCGTGTTGGGGATACCCATACCCAGTGGCCTGAGCTGCGTATCGATTAAAATTATTATTACCAACCGTGGGGCATTTTTGACCGGCATAAAAAGAGAGAGAAAGAACAACCGGTTCGATTCGTGAACGGCTTGCGAGCAGCTGTCGTCTCACCGGGACCCAACACACAGGCCCACCGCCGCCACTGACAACATGAGAGAGTACCGAGACCATTTTCTTCTTTACCAAATGCACCGTCGTTCAGATATCCCCTCCCCCTCATTTATTGATCTCACCGCGTTCTATCTTTTTCAAAACCCCCTTTTCTAACGTAATGAGAATAATTTATTTCCTTTTAAATGATTTTTTCTTTCATGATCTAATCGATTAGATCAATTGATTAGAAAATAGAAATTGATTTTCTCACGAAGTTACGTTTCTAAATATGTTTATGAGAAATATGGTAGAAGTAATGATTTTTGAATTGATGTAAAAAGATAAACGCACATAGCAAACTATTAAAAGATTATTTATGAGAATAAGATTAGATTTTCATCGAAGTCTGTCTCGATTTAGCTCGAAGAAAAATATTATATATATGAATAGATATTTTTCATGAGTTATTTTTTGTTTTCATCCGGAAATTGTTAAACGATTCGTCAGACCCGCTCCCTCAGTCCCGATGTTCGTGGTACGGGAGAGGAGATATCTCGTTCGACACGTCATACCTCAAAGATCGAGATCGGGAACGCCGGCACACACATACATACACACACCTTCTTCTCCTCGTTAGTAAATACCTGTTACTCTCGGGTCATTTGCATTTTCGATCGTCCGCGTCAGAGGACAGGCTCGCCGCCGTTGATTTTTTTTTCTTCTTCATTTCATTTCATTTCAATGAGAAAGAATAAAAATAAAAATACTAGAAGAAGAAGAAGAGGAGGAGGAGGAGAGTGTTAGTGACGGAGGGTTCTCTTGATTTTTGTTTTCTTTTTCTCAGGAACACGCGACGGAGTATAATACTTCTTAACTCGCACGCATCCTGAACTCAACATACGTGTGGATCGGTTTATGGTGGTGGTAGTGGTGGCGGCGAGTTAAGTTAACTACTATCGAATCTCCCCGCTACCAAAAGAATGCCATACCCGCCGAGAGTGCAACGGAGAACGGGAGGCCGGCCGTGCGACGCAGCTCGATCGGTGCACGTAACTGCAGTGGCGTAGTTAACTGCTTCTTCCAAGGAAAATCAACCAATCAAACGATCATTTCGCGTCTCGTAAAACACTACTCCCCCTCCCCCATTAATAGATAATATTTTCCATTACTTTTTAAATACCATCAAAAACAATCTTCAATTAAATGAATGTTAAGTATGGATGATTGTTTTGCAAAGAAAAAAAATTTGTAATTAACGTGAGAAAGATAAAAATCAAATGAACAAATTTATAAGGTTCCTATTGGGGGGTTGGAAAAAACATGGGTTTTGTCGTAAGAATATGACCCTACACATAATATATTCGAAGAATGAAGGAACGAAGAGAAGGGGGACGAGGAAGAGGAAGATCATTCCCGTGGTAGAAACGAGTGATCGAGGTGCGGTCGAGGAGCCGGTGCGTCGAGAAAGGTTCATCAATATTCATAAGTCGCGCGCTAGGCCTCCTCTATCCGCGTCTCAAGGATCGAGGGAGCTTCCAGCTTGTGAGAGAGTATTGCGTGGCCCTCTCTTACCTCTCACTCTATGTTCCTTCGTGTGTGCCAAGAGAAGGCACACAAAGTGGACGGGCATAGAAGAGAGTACGATGTGTGTGTGTGTGTGCGCGTTGATTACACATGGGGCCGACGGCAGGCAGGCAGGCAGGCAGGCAGGCAGGACACGAGAGCATTACAAGAAGGTGGTATGTATATGCGTGCATCGTATACGTATGTATGTGTGTACGTGCTGCACATAGAAATGTATGTATACAGAAGGAGGAACGCGATAAGATCGAGTAGAAGGAGCCTTGCGCAATCTCGTGTAGTGATTACTACGACGACCAAGTGTGTATGATATGTGTATGTGTTATGTTCGCGAGAGAGTACAGCAGCAGCAGCAGCAGTAACAGCAGCAGCAGACAGATAGACGGACAAACTCGTCGCCTCTACCTCCTCCGCCTTCTTCTACCTCTTCATGACACCAATGACGAGGACACGTCTGTGCGATTTTCGCAACGTAACGTTGAACACGCGTGCACGTATCTCATGCGTATACACATGGATTATGCACTTTTATATATACATACGCGTGCTTTGTAAAAATCGTTAATCATATATACGTGTAATACATACATACTTTTTCCCATTGCATACATACTGTACACATACATCTATATATACACGTGTCTCGTTAAATTAATTGTTAAATGACCACGACGCGCTTTACGCGCATTCGATGATTCCACTGAGATAACCAACACCACCATTTACCATCACAACTGTTGCAACCAAGTCTTTGGACTTGGATGATTTCTAGTGCGATCACTAACTCGATGTGACGACTACTCGTTGTGTGGGAACAGAACGAAATCGTTCCGTCCCTGACAAGAAGATATGCAACGTCAAGGATGCACGTTTCTCAGGATAGCTGAAGATTACCGATCGAGAATGTAATAACGAGAGACGCGCAGCCTTTTACGATCGTTTACGACCTACTTGAAATCGAGCGTTCGTTCGTTCTTTCATTCGTTCGCTGTTAGGAGAATTACGTCACGCGAGAGATCGCTCAGTTTTTTTTTACTT